AATTTAACTCTCTTCAATAACAACTGAAAGTACAAATTTCATATCCTCTTGTTTCCAGTCTTTCTTGTGTGGTGGAGGTTAATCTTTGGGCGGGGGTTATATCTGGAAAAGATCCCGACATTTCCCGAAACGGACATGCTTAGCTGACGGTGATCGGCACACTTGTATTCATTCGGTGAAAATCAAATTGAACGACATGCGTACAGTGAATATTTAACTGGTCAGTGTTCAGATCTGAGTTCCCTGAATCTCCTAAATTGTGATCAGAAATAATGAGATAAATACGTTAAACTCTTGGCGTTAAGCTCTTGACACCTGGATATAAATAACCTGATAAAACCGATTAAAAACGATAACAGTTGGATTCTAGTTTCTTAAGTGATTCGAAGCTGACTCTCCGTTGAGTCAAATGAGATCCTCGTGGAGACCTCTACGTCGGTCGTAGCTCTCTGGTGAAGATTTAACTGTCTTGACCGATTAAGCTCTTTCTACGGGCAGAGAAGATCCAGTCAGCTTGCGTTTTTGATAATAGCGCCTAACAGAGGCGGTGTCCCTACTCGTCTTCACGTACAAGCATATACACGTACAGTTAATGGAAATTCACTACCCACCCTAAAAAACGCGGATCTTTGTAACACGTAGCGAGTGCTTTTCAGTAGCGGAAACGTGATGGAATCTACAATCAGCGGAGGAGACTAAGGAGGTGGATTCTCTTATCTGTCTCAACGGAATAAGTCGCGGGAATCGAAAAGCTGTCCCCATAATGGACAGGGGGGTGTTTTACTTTACGAGATACACGTTACATATATGACTGCCTTTGCTTCGGTTGCACAGTAAAATAAAAGTGGACAAAAATGGGTTTCTTGATCAGTTTGAGGAGCGTAGAGAGAGAACGGGTTCCGTTGGAGAATTGGGGAATAACACGCACGATTCCGGCTGGAAACTAGTAGTCTGGCTCCCGACAATTTCAAGCTCATGTGATATGCTAGACAAGAGTGTGCACGCAAGTGATGGGACAGAGGATTGGGCGACTGAACTCCGAACCTGGGCCTAGGGTACCTGATTCTGCTACATCCACCTGAGGTGTCCTAACCATAAGGAAACGTGCAGCTGACTGCTTTTCCCGAACCGACCACATTTATTTTATAGCTGTCATCTGGTAAAATTCCAAACCTAAAGGTATAAACCTTTTGGATCCCGTTTAAGGATAGTGAAAGGCATTAAAACGGTGGACAAGTCACCAAAAGTAGGATTCAAGGTGAGCAAATCGTGAAATACACTCATTTGTAAATCAATTTGGTTTTCACGAGACACTCAGCTGAATCTCTTGTTTATGATGTTCTACAACTGAATGTGTTGTACACAGGCGGCCAGTTGAGTCTCTCGTGAAAACCAAATTGATTTGCAAATGGGTGTATTTCTCGAAAACAATCCAATCTGGGTGCAAGTAGAACATAAGGTTGACGGAAACTCGGGGACTGCGCCAACCTGATGAGCCCGAAGTGGAAGGGCAAAACCGGTCGTGGGCTGTCGAAGAGTTTTCAGCAACCTTGTAAGTAGTTTCCTTCATGAGATCGTGTGACATTTAAGTGACCTATTTCTCATATTACTCTCGTTTGAGCAATCGTCCTCTTGTCCAATCATTCTGATGAGTCCACATTGAAGGAGGAAAGCACTGGACTCGGGTTTAGCTCATCAGCAGTGTACACCAAATGGTTGTGCAGGGCTTCGAACTTCACACATCTGATATGCGAGACAAGCGCTATCACCACCAGGTCACGCTGGACCGATCCGCATTTTTACGTCTGAACATGTGAACAAGTTCGCGCTTGAATAATGTGAGCGGAACATCCGACGTCTCGAACGACGGTGCGGTGACATATCCTGGTTGTGTCGATCGATTGGCCCGCCAGTCAATTAGCTCCACAGATGCTTGAAACCTGCCGGACACATTTTATTCCAGGTGGTGGTCGAGAGCGGCTTGAACGTTGACTGCACATGAATTGGTAAAAGTCAGCCGATTTCTCCTACCCTTTGTGGTCCCGATTATTTGGTTACACATGTTGGTTAATATTCTCATGCCTTTAACTATGTTTCTTCGTCAATCACCAACCCGCAGCTGCGCGTACAGGCTAAACAGAATAACATCCTGCTTGAACACGTATAAGATGTGGCCTCAAATTTTGTCATCCAAACTATGTAACCATTTGATGAGAACAGACCAGAGGACGAGGTTCCGAAGGCAGTTAGCTCGTCATGATCACAACTGATGTCGGTCCTGGGGTTTATGAGTGCAAAGCTTGAACAACTGGCAGTCAATCCCACTGATCCAAGACGGAACGCGCGGAAGATGATAGTCCCGTCAATTCTGGTATGAAAGTTGACCTTTTAAAAGCAATAAGAAAACCACTGCATGTTGTCACTAACCCCTTATACTAGCTCCCCCTTTCGCATGAAGAGCTTTGTCTCAGTCCCCCATGTTCTGTGTTCAGATAGATAGAGAACCCTCGTGAAGACCATCTCTAAGCTAAAACTATCAAGTCCTGAAGTAGATATCTCTCTTCCGGCAAAACAAAACATGCAATTTGACGTAACACACACCAACAGTCATATGTACACACTGATTGGCTTTCCAGTTTTCAGGATAAAATTCTAATGCGTTTTCCGTTCCCTCTGCCATCCACCATGTGCTTGTGACGTCAGTTCACAAGAACGAAATACTAAGCCATGGTGGGATGTTCACTTGCATGACTCTGTGATCTGAAGGCAGCGTGTACTGGCCAGCTTAGACTTTGAGTCAGTTCTTGTCTCTTCAAGAGACAAGAACGGCACAAGACAGCAAACACAAACACCTAGCTACAACACCCTATTTATAGGCGAAATACACTCATTTGCAAACAAATTTGGTTTTGCCGGAGACTCACCTGGAATCCAGATGAATCTCTCGTTTATGATGATTTAAAGCATTTTGGGTTCAAGTAGAACACGAGGTTGACATGAACTCGGGGAACGAGCCTACATGATGAGCTCCAAGGAGGGCAAAATCGGTCGTGGGCTGTCGAAATGTTTTCAGTAACCTTATGAGTAGTGTATTACGTCTAGCCTAGTTATACGTTTTGGCAGAACAATTCCACTGACAATTCTTCCTGCGCCACCTAACAAGGAACCACGTAAAATATAGGACGTAAGTAGCACGTGGCAACGTTTTTTGTGTAGGGTATCAGACGGTGCAGACGATATCAGCGTCAGACCAGTTGAGGGCTTCATACAAGGGGCTCATTACTGACAGGCATCACATGTTAGTTCATTCGGTAGCTGTATGACGAATTAGTTGTAAAAATCACGGTCCACGAGATCTCAGTTGGTGGGTCACCCGTCCGGTAAGCGCGAAGCCGGCGTCCCCAAACGCGTCTTTTTGCTCATGTCTCGAGTAGTTTAACTTCACACTTCAAGAGTTACACATGTCCCAGCTGCTGATCGAAACCTTACAACGGTGAACTCAGAAGAATCGTGAGTAAGCGGGTCTGCAACACTGCGATTTCTACAAACCAAACAAACTCTCGTCAGAATTAAAGAGCCCGAGGTCCATGTTGTTGTTTTCTGAGAGGAATTTTGTGTTATAAAAGTGGGTTTTGTATTCCTCCTCCTCTAAACCTCACTCTGTACAGCGTCTTCTCTTTACGTGGAACATACCCAAAGGATGATTTCTGCGATTCAACTTTTTTGCTGCGTGGATATTTGGTGCCAGCAGAACCCCCCGGTAAGAGAACATTTTCTCCACAAAATGATGTTTCGACTTTAAAAAAAACAGGCTTAAAAACAATGCTGACTTCATTTTGTTTGCAACAAAACTGAAGCGAACCGGGCTTAACTCGCCAAAGGCAGTGAAGAAACGATTCTCGATTTGTAGCCGACAGAAGTTTACAACTTTTCTAATCTGTGTTATGGTAGTAAAGTAGTTCTACCGGAGATTTCTCCCCGAAACTGCTTTTTCCTCATTGAACGAGACAGAGAATTCGCGGTTTTTTATGCCTACTTTAGTGGACATTGTCGTTCTTGATGCACCTTATAGCAGAGAGGATATCAGTAAATAAAAGGAACAAAAGTCAGGTATCCAGATTAAACCGATTCATATAAGCGGCCTACCTCGACTGGACGGGAGGATATTGCTTGTCACCAGGTGGAGGGAATTCTTGTAGTACCTTCATCAAATGGCCGTTTTCAGCCATGTTCTACACTTGATGAAACACCGCATACGGAGCATACGGTGCAAAGGGATTGCGACGAGTTCTAGTGTTGCTGATGGGGTCTGCGTGGCTTCCTGTGCTTGGCTGGAGACACCGCGAGAAATGGGGGCTGATCAATGTCAGTGCCTTCGTTCTATCAGCCTCTTTCAAGATTATCTGACCAAGCGTTCGGAGGTGTAGCATCCTCAGAATGACTGCGTTACTCTCGGACCAGGTCCCTTTCTCATCCACTCTTTTCCATCCTGTTTAATTTAAATCTTGAAATATGACCAGCTAAACATTCTGTCAGTAAAGCATTAGTGTAAACACTGATGCTGCCGTCTCTGATGATGATGATAATGATGACGATGATGATGATGATGGTAGTGATGATGATGATGATGGTAATGATGATGGTGGATGCTTTAAACGTTCGTAAAATACATTGCTTACAGATTGCCAGCACTAATGGGCACGACCTCATCAACTTTGGTCTGTACGGAACCTGTTCAAAAGTGCGAGGGACACAGTGCGGGTGTAAACTGTTTGGCTGTGTCCACCAGTCAACAGCTCATCGCCTCAGGTTCAGACGACTGTACGATTCGTTTGTGGAAGATCCACGCGGGTGATCGACTGGCACTGAGTTGTGATCAGATATTGGCGGGGCATACACACTACGTGACTGCTGTACTATTCCACCGGGACATGTTGATATCTGGGGCTGCAGACCACACCTTGAAGAAATGGAATCCGATTTCTGGAGCATGCCTGATCGTGAGTGATTGCTTGTTTTCGAGATTTTATAGTCATTTATATACGTGCAAGCTTGTGCATGCACTATATCCGGGTGTTTTTGTGCCCACATGGCCTATCAAAGGTGACTTTGAATGCCCAACCACGCAACTATTCAAGCACGCTTGCTCTTTGTGTAACATGATGGTGAGTGTGCTATTCATAAAATGTTAGGATCTAAGAAATTCGCATGAAGTCTATTTTATAACTTCCCCACGAACTCTTCGTTTTGCGTCACCGTCACTTGTAGATGAAAGTTATTTTTTGATGAACTGCCAGAATCCTTGTGAAGTAGTTCATCCCTCATTGATGAGCATCTCGACGACCTCCAGAGTGATCCGAACCCGCGATCTTTCAGGTCATGTGTAGTTGATCAGAAATGTAGTTAGCCTAAACTTAGATAGGATATAGCACCCATCAAACCTGCAGTCCTCGTCAGGTGAGTGAGCGTTGACTGGGTCCTCGCGTGAGTACATCACAGCTCAGTCCGATTTAGACGTGATTCCACGCATCCCAGTGGTTACACGCCACGTTCTGCATTGGTCTTAGAAACGCACACAATAAACTACATGGACCCTAACCAGAACGATGCGGAGATACCGAGACAGTCAGTTTGAGAGTAGCCATCTTCGGTTCACATTCTCAAGCCACGGCTCACGAACCTTGTTGGAGTGGAGAACATCCCTTTCTTTGGTGGATGTTACCTTGACTTGATTAGATTTGCTTGCTGCTTTGGCAGTTCAGATCCTCACTGATTACCGGCTTACGCAACACTCCATGGGAAACCTTTTGCAGTCAGCTAATGTCTGCTAAAATGCAAAAGCATTAAGGATTATTCGTTTGAAGACCTTTTAGGTCTGCGTGACGGAGGGATCGAGCCCTTACATGGCCTTTTGGCTTCAACAAAACTGGTTTCCCTCACTACTAATGAAGAAAGATTGCAAATGTTCTCCGTGCAATGTGTGTCGAACATGTCTAGTTTAGAAGGAGGTCTGGTGTTTCAGTCTATCTTTTGTCCTCTCAGTGAAGTCATTCTGTGTTGATGGGATAAGAGACAACTGCACACTTGTTTTGTCCTTATTGGAAATCGCCATCAGTGCAATTCTCATGAACCTGCAAGGCGATTCTAGTTCTTAAACTGGTAACTACAAGCTACGTGTTTTGGTCGCCGGTGGCTTGTCAGTTGTTTACCACTACGCTTCCAGTTATGAATTCATGGAGTGGTAATCGATTTTCCCCTTAGGGGTTGGTCAATGGTTTTTTTCTTGGCTTAACCCAACCATGATGATGACAAACGAGGGATAGATTACTGGAATAGAGTGAAAGGACAAACAGTGAGCATCAAAGAAAATTCCCCCCTGAGCTGATCCACAAAGGGTTCTACCCTCAACTGAAGACCGTACAGAATTGGTACAACAGACTTATGAGACAAACTGGTCGAATTTCTTGGGAAACTATGGAAAACTTGGGACAGTTGTAAGCAACAAATTATCGTGCAGTGACGATGCTCACTCTCATGGTGGCAAAGTATTTGCAATCCAGCAGCCAATAAACTCACCCCAGCTACCAGCGAAAGGAAGAAGGCCTTTCCTGCAGAGTTATTTGTTAGAAAACGCCAACTGAACAGTTACGGACTATTGGACAGGGGAGCAAAACTCTCATATGCATCTTGTTTACAAAAACTGAATATCTATCTTCTCTTTGAACGCGTCTTTCTGAACTTTCCTGAATATTCATTTGACTGGCTCAAATCCAGCAAATGCTACAAAGCGGCTCCACAAACTCCGTAACAGATCTGGCTTTTCAAGAGACGCAAAGCGGATTTACAAGAAAACATACCACTCGCACACCTTCCCCATCAGTAGTATCATCGTTACACCAGTACTTAAACATATTGTCAGGGTTTCTCGTCTGCAGTCTGACACCTTCGTTACCAGCCGTCTCCTTCTTCTGAACGCTTTTTTTGTAATGGGGTGCTTTTGAATTTCGAATTTTTGTTTTGCGAGTCTAGTTAAGTCAGCTGATACTGAATGGACGAGATGTAGTTGAAAGCTGTGTCACTTCACAAAGTTGGAAGCAAACATTTTAAAACTGGTGCGCTTGAAATATTGAAACCCGCCTCCTTCTGGATTGCAGTTTGAGTACTTTACTTTTCATTTGGAAAGCCACAGAATACCGGATCTTTTGGCGTCAAAATGGTGGCTGCTGGGCGGGTTGTCAAACGCGCTACTGGCGACCAAAACAAGTAGCTTGTAGTTATCATCTGGAAATTTAGGGACTAGAATCGCCCTGCAGGTTCATGAGAATTGCACTGATGGCGAGCTCCAACAAGGACAAAACAAGTGTGCGGTTGTCTCTTGTCCTATCAACACAGAATGACTTCACTGAGAGGACAAAAGGTGGACTAGAACACAGGACCTCCTTCTAAACTAGACATGTTCGACACACATTGCACGGAGAACATTTGCGATCTTTCTTCATTAACGGTGCGAGAAACGAGTTTCGTTGAAGCCAAAAGACCGTGTAGGAGCTGGATTCCTCCGGTTTTCGCGGAATGCACTGGCTGCCAATCTCTGAATAAAATTGTTGGATTAATTGCTTCAGGACAGGATGACTGTTCAAATGAGATGTGAACGTGAATTCCTACAGCTAATCAAAGAACACCCAGTAGTTCTTAAGCCTCCGTGAAGCTATCTGGCTGGGAACTTTTGATAGGCATATCAATCGATGGACACAACCAGGACAGCTTTTGGTCAGTGGTTCGCCAAGTCAGGCAAACCAGTTACATCGCTCACACGTGAACAAGTTCTTCTGTTCAGTGTGTCTAGGATGCTTCCGCCTGGCATTGCGGATATCCGAAGTTCAGACCAAGACACTGCTGATGAGCTCTAATGAAAGTGAAATTCGAGTACAGCGCTTCTCTAACCCCATTTGGTATAGAACCACCAGAATAATTTCACCAAAGTGGGTAGATTACTTTCGAGAAATGCACTTATTTGCAAATCGATTTGGTTTTCACGAGGGACTCAACTGAATCTCTCGTTTAGGATATTCTACAACTGATTCTGCTGCACACAGGCCGCCTCAGGATTCAGTTGACACGATATTCGATATATCGCAGTTTATTTCCCTAAAGGAGTCCACACCCAAGTTTGCCGAAAACTGTTCGACAGCCCACAACCGGTTTCGCCCTTCCACTTCAGGCTCATCAGATGGACGCATTCTCCGAGTTTCTGTCAACCTTATGATCTACTTGAACCCAAACTGGACTGTTTTCAAGAAATACACTCATTTGCAAAGCGTTTTGGTTTTTCCTGCCTACCTGATGATTCCGAAGTGGAAGGGCAAAACCGGTCGTGGGCTGTCGAAGAGTTTTCAGCAACCTTGTGAGTAGTTTCCTCCATGAAAATATACTTCGATATCTCGAATATGGTGTCAACTGAATCATGAGGTGGCCTGTGTGCAGCACATTCAGTTGTAGAATATCATAAGCGAGAGATTCAGTTGAGTCTCTCGTGAAAACCAAATTGATTTGCAAATGAGTATATTTCTCGAAAACAGTGCAATTTGGGTCCAAGTAGATCACAAGGTTGACGGAAACTCGGGGACTGCGCGCCTACCTGATGAGCCCGAAGTGGAAGGGCGAAACCGGTCGTGGGCTGTCGAAGAGTTTTCAGCAACCAGGTAGAATAGTGTTCAGACGGCAGCGGTATGAACGTGGGGATCACCCGCAATATTGATAAACCATCCATACTAACGAGCACTTTTACTAACGATGGCATTACATCAGCATGTGTTCATTCAAAACTTGTGGCATCTGGTCATCTTTTTGAACAGCAATTATCGAGCGACAAACAGTTTTCCAACGAAGAAGTTTTCAACTTGATATACACCATGTGAAGCACACAGCGTCCGAATATTTTCGACTTGTTTTACACTCGCAAACAGTGTTCCCCCCATTAATGTCAACGGCTGATAAAGTCATTTCTTGTTAAGCTGAACTCGTGTATTCATTCAGGAGAACATTGTTTACCTCTGGAAAGAGCACTGCACAAAACTGACCAGTCTTGTGCCTCAGCAGTGATTCTGCGGTGTTTTGTACTTTTATGAAGTTGAGCTGAGTCTAACCTCCTAATATCACACAAAGTATATATATATATATATATTCCCATACTCGGACGCTAACGATATATGTACAGCCGTAACTCACACTGACTGGATGCCGAATTCAAGCATCATACTAACTGCGCAATAATGGTTCAGCTTCTTGTCCTGTCCATCTGTGTAGCTTTATTGTAAGTTCAGCAATACTCTTGTTTGAACGTACTATCCCTAAATCAATTCGAATGACTCTGTAAGAAGTTGCCTATTATCCATCATCGTAAGCAAATAAGTCACTGATGCCTCTTCGTGTCATATCAACTGTGAGAAAACTTGGTATTATGAAGAGATAAGCATTAGATAGCCGTACAAGTTACAGGAACTTTGCTTCATTTCATCCCATCTTGAACCCTTGCCTAACTCTGTACCGGTCGAATGATCTCCTATGCCTATGAAAGCGTACTAAGCAGGAAAAGAAGGTATACATATTAGTATTTTCTATACTAATTGGTACACAGCTGCGTGTGTCCCGAGGTTCTCCGATTGTCCAACAGTTACTCTAGATGAACTCCTGTTTCCCCTTTACAGACTTTTGAAGAACACGAAGATGTGATCAATACCATCGTGTGTGCGGGCAATCGCATACTTTCGGGCTCAAATGATAAGTCCGTGATCATGTGGAATTTCGATACGGGCAAGCTAGAGCATCAATTGAAAGGCCATTCACACAAAGTCACTGCTATCACTCACTTTGGTTTGGACGCGGCGGAAAAATCCGAAGATCACTCGGGTTCAACACAGCAGGAACAGGAAACCAGTGTCACACTGATTAGTCAGTTCAAACCACGAGAATGCATATTCACTGGCTCTGCTGACCGACATGCGAAGGCCTGGAGTGTACGCAGTGGAAAGTGTACACTTACCTTCAAAGGTCATGCAGGGGCGATAACACGAATCCGGGTGGATTCAACTGGCCGTCTACTCTACACCGCCTCACTTGACGGAACAGTACGCAGCTGGCACACGGAGACTGCGAAACCCCAGTTCGTTTTCGATGGTCACAAAAGTGCTGTGGTGTGCATGGATGTAAGTATAGCGAAATGGACTTGCTCACTGAAGACGTACAATTTTTCGAATTCTGATTGGTGGAACTGTTTGTCAAACTGTTCACTTTTGGTACCTGTCTAAACAGATTATGTGAAAGCCACACAAGTGAATTTAGACAGGTTAGTGACTAAATAATGCAAGTCATAAAAAGGTTACTATTGGTAGTTGTCTGGCGTAGTCAGGGTCCGATTCTCCTACGAAGTGAGGATTGGTCTAGCATTACTTTTTTTCGGCCTCTGTCGCAAATGCACTAATACAATATCGGTGGTATACATTGGTCACGGGACTATTGTTGGTCCTCTCAATGACTCAGTAATAAACAAGAACTGATTACAAAAAGTCTCAAGGGGTGTGGTGATAGCAACCGGTCGGCATGCCAAAAGTCCCCCTGCTATCAGCAGTACTGCAGTCATCAAAGAGGACCTGGTGACCTGTCACCAGGTCAGTATTCTTGGCCCAGTTCTTTTGAGATCTTCAATCCCAGGGGTGTTCAGGATCCATCATATGCCTGTTTTGAACCATTTGAAACAGGAGGATGTTTTCAATCTCCTGAAGGCTTTGTTTTTACCCAATGAGAACAAACACCTGGTCATTACTGCTATATCATGAGTGACTGCCATCCGAACGGCTTTATGTAGGATCCAGTCCACAGGTTTGCTTCATCCAACCCGCTAGTAGCCCTTGATTAGTTTGCACGCAAAAGGCAGAAACTGTCGAAAGGAATTCACACTGGACGTTAAAAACTTGGTGCTAGATGCATATCTCTGTAAGATACTACTCATAAGGTTGCTGAAGATCCGTCGACAGCGGACGACCGGTTTCGCCTTTTTTGGTGCTAGATAGTCTAAATTGGTTGTCAGCTGGCCGGTTGAGAAGCCAACAGTTGCATTAGTCGTTTTTAGATCACCTGGATTGCGTCACCCGTCACCGTCACAGTGAAAAAAGATCGCTGTAACCAAGTAACACATTTCAACTTGTCTTCCACGTTTCGCGCCGTGTCAGATGTATGACAGAAGTGCGATGGTCAGAACGTGGTCCCATTTTTTAAGCTACTGGCTGGTATATGGTTGATAAAGTGCGGTAAAACTCTCGAATAGACTAACCAGGCGCTGCACGTCGATCATACGCGCACCCTTCTGGTCCCATTGAAGACTCAGGGATAGTCAAAAGTTAGTCGGATCCATAACATTCTGTGCTGAAACAGCATAGCCAAAAAGCATGATGAGTACCATAGCGCCCAGCCAATCAGGAGACAGTCATTTTGTTCATAATTAATTCTCTAGTTTCAGCTTCCCAGTGATTAGTTGTGTTCAACTTTGTTTCGCCCTAACATTTGGTGACACCAATTCTGGTTATCTGCTAGTGAGAACCAGAACAGAGGTGTCAGCAGTGAGTTTTGTATTGTTAAGAAACACGTTATTTTGGAAAACATTGAGGAGACACTCGGCTAATCTGGACATAACCAGCTGCTCTTAAGTTTGCTGAAAACTCTTCGATAGCTCACAAGTGGTTCCTCCCTCCTTGAAGCACATCAGACAGACTCAGTCTCCGAGTTCCTATGAACCTTATTTTCTGCTTGGATCCCGACTGTGCAGCACATTCGGTTGAAGAGCATCGTGAACGATTGGTTCAGCTGGGTTCAGTTGAGTCTTTCTTTAGAACCAAACTACTGAGTAAGTAAAAGTAGTTGGCAAACAGTACATCAATCTTCATTGTTTGTTGATAGTTTGTGTATCCAGGCTCACAATTTTTTCAGAAATGTGTATGCAAAAAACATAGTTAGGTTCATTGAACGAGGCGGGGGGGGGGGGTCGTTTTTCAAGAAGTGAGTCGCTGAGACAGTACATGAATCGTGACCTGGGAGACCATTTCATGTCAAAACAGGTCGTTCTGCTGGAATACTCAGGGACAAAACACCGACAAAAATTTAGTGTCACACATAAGTGGCAGGCATATTTGGAGGTTATTAACTAGAAATCTTCAGTCGTGTGTGGATTCAGAAAAGTCATGCTGCGAAAGAAGTAGCATCTGGCCACAGTACGTGAATGACAGAGACTTGGGAAGATATCTTCCAAGGATTGCATAAAGAACTTGTCGGACTTCAAGATTCACTGAAAGTGATGGAGGTATCCCGCAGCTGATGGTGACAGAGACATATCCGACGTGGGAATATCATGACTTGTAGTTGTGTTGCTCATCTTGTATCGAGGAGTTAGCAGAGCCTATCAGCGATTTCATTTGATGGCGTGCGCACCGTCATCATCAATTTGAAAAAGGTGGTTCTGATTTTTGTCATTCGTTTCATCACAGTTGAATTCAATGTAGTTCGGTTTGGAAAATATTCTCGATCGGTTTCTTTCAACTTCAAACCACAATGCGTCCGTCGTTGGGCTTATGAAGGTGTTGGCTAATACAAGTTGTCTCATAATAAACGCAAAATTTAATTGGGTAATCAAACGTAACCAATTAAAGAAGGGATAACAAAATTCTTTATTATTAGCAGCCACATAAAGATGGTTTTGTGTGCAACTGTTAAATTTTTTTCTGTTTTCAAAGGATGTCACTACGCGCGTTGAAATGGTGAAACTCTATTATTCCCTTAGTGAAAGCGCCACCACTGCACTTCGTCATTGAATAACCAAACATGGTCTCATCAAAGATTCTTTCACGCTTGATTGCAAAATATGAGTCCATTGGATCTGTATTGGATTTTTCTGAAAAGGGAGAAAACCTCTGAGTGATGAAAGACCGCCCATTGTGCAGAATGCAACTTCAGTCCCAGAGCACCATGGCGTCTTCGTCAATAACTCAGGTGTCTCAGTTGACCGGCATTCCACGCGCCAGCGTGCATCTTACCATGAGACGCCATTTTGGTCGTTGGCTTGTTCGCTGAGCTGGGCAATTTGATTGCAAACGTTTCATCACAAATCGAGGTGACATCATCAGTGCGTTATTGGGGAGCGTAGTCGTGCGTAGCGGTGCGTTAGTGCCTGTGCGTTGAGTAGTGTTTCGTGCTACCATCTACGCTACCTGAGCTATCGACATTTTTTTTCTATAAATGACAATTCATTTAAAGTAAACCTCCGTAACATTTTTTGCGTCTATTATGAGACATGCCGTATATGCGTGGTATATTCATCTGTTATTAACAGCTGAGCTGTCTGTCCACACCACGAACATATAAGGGGAGATTTGAAAACGCGGAGTCGATTTGCTTAGTTAATAGTCGTTGAAGAGTTCAGTCGAGCACGCGTGTTCGGCGATCCCTGAACGCTCGTGAGGTATGCAGGGCTGATTATTCCTAACAGGGATGAAACAACTGTGCCGTACTTTTCGGTTTTTGACATGGATTGTTTACCAGAGACCATTCGACTGAATTCCTACAACATTATTGATGCTCACGGTTTGAATTCAAAGAGAAGATTGTAGCTGATGACGTGGGAACTTTATTAATCCGGCTGTCGCTGCCACAAAAAAAAATGGCGTATCAATGGCATCATGCTAATATGAATAAATCTGCCACAAACGGCCACCATGATGGTTTACTCACTATCTACCCGAACCGAACGGAGCTTGTTACGGAAACGCGGGGACTGAACCCACTACTTGATAATCCCCAAGTAGGATAGAGCCGGTTTTCAGCGGCCATGTAAGTACTTTGATTCGGTATCTCACTTGTCGTAGCAATTGAAATACGAGACAGCCTTTGTGTAAAACATTTAGTTAAAGAATAGAGCAAACCAAGGATCCGGTGGGGATCCAATTGAGCCTCCTAATAGAACAAAATTAGTGTACAAACAAATGCGTTTCGTGTAATTATTTCTATTGAGCTGTCAAAGAATATTCAGCAACCTTATGAGTAGTGCATTACGATTATTTTCACTTCTATTTTCGGTCAGCTATGTGATAAAATATTATACACTGGAAGTGCTGATCGGACAGTGCGATCTTGGTTGTTGGAAACGGGCACGCAGTTAAGAAAGTATTTGGGAGCGAAGAAAACCATCATTGAAGTTCGAAGCGATGGGGACCGTTGTAAGTGGAGATTTTTATTACCGCTGTTTTTATTGTTTCCGTCAACAAGTTACTTTTCAGTAGTATTTGGAAATGCAAGAAGGTTGAACGAGTGCCCTTCCTGAAGACAGTGAAAGCTCTGGAGTGAACATCGATGAGACTAACCTGTAATTCCGAGTTCGTCCCTTAAGTTACACTCCACAGTCTCTCTGAGGGCAGAGCAGTAGCTAGGCTCTCTCACGCATTTGACTCAGAAGGCTCATAAGGCTTGTCTGTAAAGCCTCGACCAGTTTTAGTAAGTTTAGTATGTATTGTTTGGGTGAAAGAGTTCGATTTAGGTGGTCCTGGGTTAACTGTAGATTCGCACTCGACATGGTTTTTCGCGGATAGCTGCCACCGTCAGCCTTTGCCGTGCTGTCTACTCGTGTTTTCAGATACTCTGGATCTGTGTGCTAACAGCTTCTACTGGACTAAAAATAATGAACAGCTTTTCTTATGCTAACAAACAAAGAGAAGCAACACAGAGTGCTTGTTCTTCACTACACCACAGGTGTACTCTCTGTGAATACTAGACAAAAAGGAAGTTGGGGGTGGTGTGAGGAGATTTGGCAATTTTCAGCTGACATATTGTCCTGTAACTGAAACAGCCTGCGCTGGAAAGCCGACTGGTGCTGTAAGTTGTTGAACTCGAGACCTTTAGTCTGGCCAACAGTTGGACGATTTATCTCGAGTCGGTTATTTGAGACGCCTTGTGCACCCCACTTGTGCACTCATTAAATTACTGCGCTGCGCAAGGATTTTTCTTGTTTTATTTAAGGCGAATTCGAAACACCGCAGTACTCTTTCTTGACAGAAAACACTGGGGTCCATTCGAGCTCTCGAAGCGTCTCCAGTAATCTAATGAGCATTGTTTTCCATCAACAGGAAAAGGTTTTTGAAACTTTCAAGCAAATTGCGATTCTCCCCATCCACTCAAGGATGATGTGCTCCGAATGACAGCTTCTCCAAAATGGATTGCACTTCTGCAGTTCTGTGGAGTTATATCAATACCCAGACACAGTTGCAGTAGAATCGTTGTCTCCGTCCCTAATCGCTTAACAGTTTTGGCTCATGTTCGGAGAATTTCGTTCCTGAGCTTAACCTTCATTATCTGTTTCAGTGGTTTCTGCATCGGATGATGGCCACGTGCGCGTATACGACAAAAATACCGGAGTATTACAGACGGTTTTCGGAAATTCGTTGTCCCAATGTATCAATGCCTTTGAAGTAAGTTTTGCTTTGCTCACTTATGTGGCAAATTCAAGCCCCTTCCTATCTAAACCTAGATAGCCAAGAAGGCATTGTTTTACCTAGATTCACTGACTGCATTTAATGTAATCCATTATTCTTGGGTACCAGGGTGAACAGTTCTAATAGTCCTGCGTACTCAAGGACGTCGAAGTGGACAGGGCAGACCCAAGGTGATGAACGAATAAAGTTTATATATGTTACTGATAAACGAACAGTAGTTTGCATTATGTATGCACGTGTACGTACCAGGGCAAAACGGCGGTGAAGCACAGCAGAATAAATAAGGAAGAATTTGGTCCACTTTGCAGGCCAACTGAAATGTTGAGGCTGGTGCGTTAAGTTCTAAGTGTAAAGGTTACAACAGGGCGACCATGTAGACACTTTTGGTTGTATTTCAACGCTGATATCCTCGAAACCACAACTGGGGTTTAGAACATACCCCATGGCCTTTCAACCGGAAAGGGTTGAAAAGTGGACGCACAGCTTCTTGCCCATGCACTGCTGTTCTCCAGAGTGCGCCGAGCAACAACAGGATTAATGCGGCCAACTGCAGTTAGTTCCAACTGTAGCATGCTTTTGCCCTTTGCCCGAAGCCATCATGTAGTAAATAACCTGTGCGTGAACTGCTGCAGAGAGTAATCTAGACTCTGATTGGCTAACTGGGAAGACCAATTAGCACCCCTCGTTAGAAGTAGCCAAAATTTGAATTTTTGGGCCGAAAGTCGACAATTTGTTGTTTTGAGTTCATGAGTTTTTCATGAATGAGCATCGTCATAGCAAGTGGCGAGTAGGTGAAAATGTGGGGAATCCAACGATACCAGGGTTTTGTATTAATGGTTCTGCAAACAGCATATAGTCAGGATTTTGTGCCAGAAATAAAGTCAGTAAAACCTCGATCGACAAAGTAATAAAACATCCTTTCACGACCTAGTGAAGAGGTCTTTCAGCTTTACCGGATAATGCCTTTGCAGCTGCACCCTTTTATTCGACCGAGACATGCAGTTCAGACCTATATACAAGGCACTGAAACATATTCAGTAGTAGATCTCGACAACAGTGTTATTGAAGCAGTGTGGCCCAGCACTGAGATGTGGATTTATTGCTTGCTTTCTGTGATTTAATGTTATTCAATCACAGTTTCAAAAGTTCGAACTTGTCAAGGCAAACGAAAACAAAACAAAACACCGGAATCGTGGCTTTGACGAGGCTACTGTTGTTTGCGGTAATCCTTCCTCCCAGTCGGCTCCGAAAGTACAATTTACTATCTTAGGTACTGTTCAGGTNGTTACATGCTAGCGTAGCAGTCGAACTTCACACGTTGTGGAAGAGGCGTTCATCTCATTGAGACTAATGTGGCTGCCACATTTCTGCACATAAACGCCATCTGTACTATCCAACTTGCGCAAAGCACGAAATGCCACCTTTGTCGCATGTAACTTCAGCTTTTTTCTGACGATTTCGTGAAAACGGATCAAAGGCCTCTGGGCCTCTTCCACCGTATTTCGAACAAGGACAAATTCTGCTCGAGACTACAGATAATCGTTCAACACCAGCGGTTTTTCTTCTAAACTATTCGATGACGATTTCTCAGGATTCTTAAAGAGCAACATTCGTGTGTTGTATTAAGCCGTCAGCTTGGTGCTGGAGAGTTTTCACGATCAAACGGACAAATCTTTACTCATCACGTAACTACTAATTAGCAGTTGACCCGGTTAACCGCTAAGCTCAGTGAAAAATCCACGTAATGCCTCAAAAATTAGATCAAACGAGCCTTGCACCCTAAGCTTCTGGATGGCATGTACAGTTTCCTTATCAACGCATGATCTTTTATGAGTATCTGTTTATTGTCGTTCCCGTTTTCCAAGGAGATCAAATGTGGAACACGGAGGTTCCAAATGTTCCAACGACACAGGAACAACGAGTCTTCTCGAAATTCCGAGGTTACACTTGCCAACTTTCCTAAATTTAGGCCAAAATAATCACCTATAATACACCTTGTTATTTCATAGAGGCGACAAACTTGGATCTGTGTGGAAATTTGCGATAAAGTTTTGAACGTTCTTTAACCTAAGCTAAAAACTAACCGTCATATCTCTTAACCACCTATTAGATTCGTTCTTTCACAAAGATTTTGGAATTTATAAGTGTTCTTGAATAGAACTCTAGGGATGTGAAAACGAAGACACGCGTGATTGACAGGGACTCTAACCAATGACCATCGCTTGATGTGCGTTTCGGTCCTGCTGAGGGGTGTTTCTTGGCAATGCGTGTCCAATTCAACAGTATTCATTTGGTAATGGATCAGGTGGTTGTTGATCTGTTCGACGAGTTCGGCAATTGATTTGCAAACCTTTCATCACCATCCGAGGAGACACCTTCAGTGCTCTGTTCGTTGGCACCCGAGCTACCAGTATCCCGGTACATTACCAGCAGTATTCAGGTATAGTCACCTCAACCCCAGCCGTTGAATAGTGAGAAAGGATGAAACAAAATCCGCTGACTACTCACCCCTGGTTTCGTGGGGCTCTTAAGGGATTCGATCATTCATTTATCTTAATCAATCATCGGTTTCTGCACCACTCAGGCAAGTTAATGCGTCCAATTTTTTGCGCATTTGTACCTCCATATTTCTATGTAAGTCGAGCTAAAATTACGTACTCAACTTACACATTGTGGTACATCTGAAAAACAGGTTGCGCCAATGCATTTACCAGATTAGTAGAATGGGCGTAGTCCATAAAGTAATGCCTGCTGTTGCTCGCAAACATAAGCGAGCTACGATATTTGAAATATCGCGATACATGTATATTTGCAATGTACTACTCATAAGGTTGCTGAAAATCCATCGACAACCCACGACCGGTTTCGCCCTTCCACTTCGGGCTCATCAGATAGGCGCAGTCCCCAGGTTTCCGTCAAACTTATGTTCTACTTGAAACCAAATCGCACGAACTTAGCGAATATACACTCATTTGCAAACTAATTTGGTTTTTCCGAGAGACCCACCTGAAACCCAGCTGAATCTCCCGGTTATGCTGTTCTCAGGCAACTGAATGGACTGCGACTGTGTGTAGCGACCGAAACTTGAGGCGGCCTGGTGCAGCACATTCAGTTGCCTGAGAACATCATAAATGAGAGATTCAGCTGGGTTCTAGGTGAGTCTCTCGAAATAACCAAATTAGTTTGCAAATGAGTATATGTTCGCTAATTTCGTGCAATTTGGTTTCAAGTAGAACATAAGGTTGACGGAGACCCGGGGACTGCGCCTACCTGATGAGCCCGAAGTGGAAGGGCGAAACCGGTCGTGGGCTGTCGATGGATTTTCAGCAACCTTATGAGTAGTATATTATGCACATGTGCTTCTGGAAGAACAGTCTTTGATTATGATTGACTGATCGGGTTCTAACCTCGTGTTCTGATTGGCTGACGTTCGGTCATTGGAACTGACCTATCCGATTCGTACTGTGTGTACTTTGCTAGACTCGTCTAGCGGTTGATGTTGTTTTGTCTGATCTCTGTTTGCCTGACGTTTTGCCGTGCTCGCGTCATTCAGTTCAGTTCGAGGTGTCTTACTCGCACAAGCGTATAGATTGTGCCCTGTTCAGCTCATTAATTGACTGGGATTGTCGTGGAGTACCACATTTTTGGAAATTCCTCTGTTTGTCTGATGCTTCCACACACCGGAATCTTCACGTCTTCAGTACTAGGATTATGAACCCCCGTTCTTTGTGTACGACCGTTTTGTATCCTTCGGTCCATTTAGATGGCTTCCTTCTGGTCTGTCCGAGGAAGTTCTTGTTGCCTTCGATGTAAACTATCCGGTAAATAAGATCGATTTAGTTGCCTTGTCCGGACTGAGATTTATCAACTAATTTACCGACACTTTGAATCGGACCTATGAACCTCTAATAGCATGAACTGAATCAAATGATGAAATCGGCCGGCCACGAGATAAACGAATCAGATATCAGCACCAACCGGAGGACCAGTCCGGCAAAAGTTACGAATCGCAAACATGGTCACTCGTGCATTTGACGCCTAACTGAAACTAGCAGCATAAGGTTATCTTGTTTTGTCTGGTCGCGTATGCTTTAGAATATGCAATATTTAGCTAGACAAGTTCGTAGATGGTGAGGATCATCATCACTATCAAGAATCATCATCGATACGAATCTTCAGACCAGCGGCCCTCCGAATAATGGCTAAACAATGAACCACTAACAGTTGACCAATCAGCTGAGGGGCAGTGTGATTGACTAGCATTAACGTAGGTTATAGCACCATCATCCTTCACAGTTCACGCTACGTGGCTATCCTGTTGAGTGCAGCTTCGTCACAGAGAGGATTCATTTTCTGAGCAAGTAACCCACGGTTTGTGGGGTTTGGTGTCCTATCTTGTTTTAGTGCGAGATTTCCATATCACTGATCGGGCGGTCGCATCCTAATAGTATGATGCTTGTCCTCAAACCACCTCACAGAATCGCGGGATGACCACAGTTAGCCAGTCCCATCGAGGAGGTACAGTACTTCTCCGCATGAATTGACTTTACTTGAGGGGCAGATTTTCATTTGAAACCGTATACAGAAAAGAATTGCAACTGGCCACCGAAAAATATGACTAACCCGAACTGATCCAACGTCTTTTTCTATTACAGATGACATCTAACTGCTTCATCACCACAGCAAACGATGGTTTCCTTTATCTTTGGGGCATACAAGAGGCTAAATCTGAAACTGTTGAGGACTAGCCGAACGGTGTCAAAGATGGGGCTGGTGAATAAGTCCGAACTTTTCGAGCACTCACTATTCATGGAACTCAGTCAGTTTATCCGGAGACAGAAACTCACATTCATTCATCGATTTCGCCATTGTCATTGATGCTGTCTTATATAACATGTCCCATACAGCGAATATACACTCATTTGCAAACTGATTTGGTTCTTTCGAGAGACTCACTTGGAACTCAGCTGAATTCCTCGTTTATGATATTCTCAGGCAACTGAATGTGCTGCACCAGGCCGCCTCATGTTTCAGTCGGTCGATACGATATTTGAAATATCGTGATACATGCATATCTTTGTAATATACTACTCATAAGGTTGCTGATGGTGTCGATGGATTTTCGGCAACCTTATGAGTAGTACATTACAAAGATATACATGTCCCATACACTTTTCGATGTATAATTTGCTGTTGCGTCGCCTCCTCATCGGACAGGAGGTCGAACAAGAATATTTGAATAGGAAGTTCGCTTTAACAAAACCAAGCATACATTGTGGAAGTTTAGAGAGACAGACGTGCTGCTGATTAGGAACGTCTCGGAACTTTTGAGACTAGCTGGAAACAGCATCACACTAAACAAGCAAAAGGCAGGCTACGAAATATGACTGTTACCTCCTAGGTTCGTGGGTGGAAATCTCAGGGAAGGGGTCTTGGAAAAGCTCTTGGGAAGGCATCCTTTGTACTCTATACTTTTGTAGAGGCTGTATTATCAGCACTACAACCTGCGGGAATGGCTTGACTGATTAATCGACATGCGTTAACAGTTGCACCTACCTAGTTGAACTCGTAAACACAAAAAACGGATAGTAAAACCCTCAAAGTCCTTTAAGAGTTAATATGCCTTTGATGTTCTCTATTCCGCGCCCTTCCATGTCCCGAATTTCGAACGAAAAGAAGTTGCCTCTCATCACATTTCAGTCATGGCTTCGGTTCTCGTCAGTGATTTCATCGAAGGACAGACATACTTTGTTTGTGGTTTCATTTTGCGGAAAACTGTCTCCCGGGTTTAACCATTTTTGCCTCATCGTGAACCAACCTTGTGTGAAGGATGATGGAGTGTTTCAGTATCGAACCGATGCCTTGAACTGGAGCGTGGTTGTGGAACTGTGTAGGGTCCATAGTATGCACGGTCCAGGCATTTCTACCTACGGAAATTTCTGCCATTCTATAGACTAATCCGATACACCGTGTGTCCAGATTGCTGGTTTACGACATACGGCTTTGTTTTTGTGGCCGCTTCCCAGCGACCATTCATGCACTTTCACCAAAGTGAAGATGTGATCATTCTTCCGTTTTTCATTATCCAATCCCGAGGAATGACCGGAGTTGGAAAAAGATTAGAACAGATTATTCTTCATTCTCCTCTAAAACACGGTCAGATTTTGACATACCAATCAATCAATGAGGCTAATTAACACTCCCGAGCCGTCTGTGACCGCGTTCGTCCTTCTTCAGATGGCTGTAGCCGCCTAGTTCCCGTCAACCCCATGTTCTACTTGAATCAGATTTTGACCAATCAATCAATGAGGCTAATTAACACTCCCGAGCCGTCTGTGACCGCGTTCGTCCTTCTTCAGATGGCTGTAGCCGCCCGCCTCCCGTCAACCCCATGTTCTACTTGAAGCCATATCGGATGCCATCCGCGGGTTACATTCCTTTGTCTACTACCTCTACTACTATTACAAATTCAGCTGAATACTAGCTGAATGTGCTGCACAAGGCCCGCCTTATGTAGGCACGATATTCGAGATGTTGATGTATATTTTCTTGGTATGTTGGTCAGGAAGGCTAGTTAAAGACGGAACCTTTTGAAACCCAGTTCCAACTAGGACGGTATTTAGTATGACCTGGAAAAAAACCGCACTAAATTCCACGTTCACCTGGGGAGACGAATAATTGATAATTGGAGGATTGGTCCATAGGAAAACATAGTACGGTCGTCACGCGTTCCATGAGAATGCCTCGTTTGATGCGTTTGCTGTCTGCTTCTGTGCGGCACACTAGGTCTGGAGAGAGTTCGCACACACCAAAGACCGTAGCGCTCGTAACTGTTCTCCCATTCGGTGCATGGGCAACTAAGCAGAGGTCAGCAGAGGTCATTCAGGCTGTGCAACAGCCAATGAGCGCAATGCGTAAAGCGCAGTCAGCCAGCTGTGATAGTATTGGTGCACCGACATGTTTTCGCCAGATGATCGGATGCGCTGGATTTTTCCTCCAATCAGGTGATGAGCGGTGAGAAGTCAGCGCAAGCGTGAGCGCACAGCCACACACGGTTCATCATTTGCGAGATGAGTGAACCGAAAGCACCGAAATACACTCATTTGCAAGCAAATTTGGTTTTGCGAGAGACTCATCTGAAACCCAGCTGAATCTCTCCTTGGTGATCTCTCCAGGCAACTGAATGTGTTGCACCAGACCGCCTCATGTCTCAGTTGCTACGATACTCGAGGTATCGCGATACATGTACATTCGTAATGCACTACTCATAAGGTTGCTGGAAATTCATCGACATCCCAGACCGGTTTCTCCCTCCTTGTGGCTCACCAGGTAGGCGCAGTCCCCGAATTTCCATCAACCTTGTGTTCTACTTGAACTCAAATCGCCCGAAATTAGCGAAATACACTAATTTGCAAACAAATTTGGTTTTGCGAGAGACTCAGCTGGAACCCAGCTGATTCCCCCGTTTGTGATCTCTCCAGGCAGTTTGAGGACACTGTACGATGAACCTGCTTGCGCTTCAAGGCGGCTGTGCATCCATTCGTACGGACTGTTCCTTTCACAGGGATCCAGTGTATCGGGTCATTTCCCATCAATTTTTGAAGTAATCATGTACGTATAGAAGATCAACAACATTTCCTTCTTACACGTTGCACTCAATGTCAGATTGTGTCAGGTTCCCAAACAGATGCAGTTATAACTTTTCATAAGCCAGTTAAGTAGGTCGGTGAGTGAGGACAACCTTTTAGTGAGGTCAAGCTTCTACGCAGTCTCGTGTGTAAACCACAGGTTTTACTTAGCGAATTAACGCGTCCTCGGAGCATAAGAGCCATTTTAACGACAACAGCCGTCTAGAGTTCTCAGTTCGGGGTATTCCACTCTGTTTCTATCAATCTCGTGTACAGTTTAATTTCCTTCAAGTTGCTGCATTCATACAGTTCAGAAAACCATAGTACAATTTCGGAACATTCTTCCTTCTGACTTAATTTTGATTGGTTGATCGTTTTATTCGTTTTCGACGGAATTATCTAACGCTTTGTCCAAGCTATTTATTCTGTTTTCCAGTGATGTGCTCCTTTCTCTTCAGAGAAAGGAGCCTGTACTGGTTTCCACTCAGCATAGGCCCGTATACCACGATGATCAACCAGTTGACAGGTCACTTCATATACGTGGAGAAGGCCATCACCCCCCCCCCCTTTGTCCATGTGACCTTCGTCATACTGCCGCACAGATCCGCTCTTTTCACATATCGGTCGCATCATCCATTTTTCAGTAGTTCACTCAAACACTGGTATTCGCATATAAAGTCGTGAATATGGCTACCTGGTTGAGGCTCAGGTTTATTCGATGTCATGTCACCTCGCCGATCTGCGCCATCAGGGTCCACCACTAGATCGACCTGGGTTGGGACTCATGTTCAAGGAGCAAGCTTGAACTCTGTGAAGTCAATAAGTGGGCACAAATCTAAATTGAACAGTACCTAATGACGTTGACTGAAGCCACGGCGGTCGGTCCAATGGTACTAGTCCTATCTAGATGAAGGATAACCGGCATCAACGGAATCTCTCGCTTATGATATTCGTTCAGTTTAGTCTCTCGTGAAAACCAAATTGATCTGGAAATGAGTGTATTTCTTGAAAACAGTCCAGTTTGGGTTCAAGTAGAACATAAGGTTGACGGAAACTCGGGGACTGCGCCTACCTGATGAGCCCGAAGTGGAAGGGCGAAACCCGTCGTGGGCTGTCGAAGAGTTTTCAGCAGCCTTGTGAGTAGTTTCCTCCATGAAAATACACTGCGATATCTCAAATATGGTGTCAACTGAATCATGAGGCGGCCTGTGTGCAGTACATTCAGTTGTAGAATATCATAAGCGAGAGATTCAGTTGAGTCTCTCGTGAAAACCAAATTGATTTGCAAATGAGTATATTTCTCGGAGAAGTGGTGTGAATTTTTTGTCTCTGGTTTGTTTGGACGCGTCATTGGTAGGTGGTGACACATGGCCTCTACAGCAATGGCCTAAAATATTACCTTTCCTCCCAAGTGTTGATAGTCCGCTTAGTAGGATGCCCGAAACACCTGTGTACAACTATCCATTGAGCTAAGTAACAGCGATCGTATTGGTAAGTCATAATTATCCTAAAACTCGGCCGGCCACCATGTGCGCAGTGGACTGTGATGAACGAATCCCAAAAAGGGAACTTCTCTTTTTGACAGGCAATTGTCTGAACCAAAACCAGTGTTTTGCCTATGTGAAACACTGAACCACAGTTGCGGGTTGTTGTACTTCTGATCCGTGATGTGCTTTTGATAAAATAAAGCCAAGAGACCTGGGAAAACTGAAGGTCGCTGTGTCGAAAATATGGTTGCGATAGATGGGTGTGAACACAGAATCCTAAACAGGCAGTTCCCCAGCTAATCACACAGCACCTCCTGGCAGGTGAAGTTGGCGGAATTCAAAAGAGGGATTTCAAAGCTACAAATAACTCGTTCTCAGGATTATAACCCTGGAGTGACAACCGTGTGTTTGATTAAATGGACCAAAGTATCAACTGCCACATTGAGTTTTTGTTATGGTACTCTGCGAAATCCGACTGTTTACCCACTTCAATTCCTAGTCGTTTGTTTACACTAACGTTTTTTTAGGCCAGACCCCTAGTCCCAACAGTCTCTTGAGCTGTTTCTCAGTCTAGACGTCTTTGCGAATTCTTCTGTTCCAGAGTACTGATTTCCCGAACTGTCTAACTTCTGACCTCTGGCTTTCATAAACTCGAATAATGGCGATGACCGACACTGTTGAGCCCGTACACCTGTCCCCGATAGAGGGTCAATAACCAGAATCCGGCTTCCTAGATTCCCTCTTCAATTATTTTAAAGAATGTACTGCCCCCAGAAATGTAGTTTTTTAATTACTGGATCAAGTTT